GGGGGCCCTGCCGCAGCAGGACGAGCGGGGCGAGCCCCGCGATCCGCGACGGCCCCCGGCGGGACGCAGACGATTTTATTCTCCTGGACTCTCACGCCAGCATTAGCCGCTCTCTCCAGCCTGTTTGGTTCGTCCGAAAAACTAAAGAAACCCCGTTTTGCTGCCTTTTCCGATGAGAAAGTGAGGCTGCAAATTCCCATCTTTTGCGGCATGGGGGATGAATGGGCTGCGGTGGCAGCTGTCCCTGTTGGATGGGAAAGATGCTTTAATTGATACCACAAACCCTGGTGCTTTTGTACTCCCTGAAATGTGGTTCTGCTCGCGGAAGCATCTCCGAGGTTTTAATGTTTTCTTTCCATCTATCAGCTTGGGATCTCCTTGACTCTCTCCTAGTGCCAGGGCAGGTTTCCTGGCGATTTGGCTGGTCATTTTTTGCTATGATGGGCAAAGAAAAAAGCAAAAAATCCCTCCAGCTAAAGGCTGGCTGTGCAATGTGGCCAGAAGAGAAAGTCAGGGAAGCTTTTTATTATTCACCTGAAAACTTGATTGAAATTGTGCTAAGAGCGTAATTATTCTTTAAGACAGAACCACAGTTCAGGGAAGGGAGGATAAATAGCAGTAATAGTGACCGTAGTGCTGGCTCCTTCCAGAAGCCTTTGGGAAAATCACCTTGCTGTTGGCAAAGCGACACGAAGCCGATGCTGGTTTTGGGCTGGGCAGTCCTGGTGCCAGGGAGGCCGTGGAGCGACTCGCTGGTAGGGAATGAACAAATGACACTTTATAAAGCTGTGATTTCTTGGAATTAACATTTCAACTTGCATTTTCACAGGGAAAAAAAATAATAAAAGTGGAGGAAAAAAAAAGAAAAAAGTTTCTTCATCTGGTCGTGTGACACCTTGTCCCAGAGGTGCTGGGCTGCAGGCTGAACAGAGCCTTTTCCAAGGAGGGAGCCCAGCTGGAATCGGCTCTGGGCTCAGGTCCCGGAGCCTCCTGGGGACAAGGGGAGGCATCTGGGGTGTGAGGAGGAGGTGACGTTGCGGTGATGGGGGTGAGCGCAGCGCTGGCATCGCTGCTTCCCGGCACCAGAGCCCCC